AATATGTTAAAAATTGGATATTATTATTACTAATGTTAGTTATTTCTCATGCGCTAAGGATGCAAACCACAGCCAAATATTAGGATCACCAGATCCCTTGTTTATCTTTTCCACTAAAGCTCATCGGTGTTGACCATGGCCTGCACACATCTGGCGGTGTGCAGATTTCCTGCTTCTCAGAGATGCTGACTTTAAAAGGATTAGGAGGTCTCGTGCCTACGCTCAAGTTTGGTTCGGAGATGGAATCTACGCTGCACTACGTCAACTCTGATGATGCCCGTGAAGGAGGAGCCTTCACTCGATAGACTTCCGCTAGATTAACTCTGTAATAGGTGTGTTCCTCAGTGATGTAATACCTTTTATCTTGTAATCTTACGAAGTATGACAGTGATATCAACTGATATATGATAATATGACGGACTCAACTATTGGTTTCATCATATTATAATTCATTCTATGGATTTTCCCTTCGCGGAAAATTGAGGATGTTTCAGACACCATCCCTGCGTCACGCAGCATAGACATGACAACATCGCACAGTGGTGACGTCCAGTATGGTGACCTGGCATCCAAATACGGTCACATAAGATATATGTATGATTCTACCCACTACGGGGTGGGATCCACGATGGAGGCCTTGACTTAGAAGCCATCCAAGCTAGCGGGAGCCATAACCCTAGAGCTCGGGATCGTGGCCACCAACTCCACAAGCTAACTAGGCAATCGACGACCTAGGGGCGGCTACCAACTCCTATACGATGCCCCTAGGAGAACAGGAGGCAATGACAAAGGCCACGATGGAGACCACGTCGCATAGGACGGCTGGCGAACCGCCACCGTGCCTACAGTGCCACCATGGCCAACACAGTAGCACCATGCCACACCTTACCGCGACGTGGGCATAAGACCATAACGACAACCACGCCTAGACGTGCACCACAAGACGGCGTAGCTTTCAAGCCAAGTTAGCTAGGCCCCTCCTTCAAGCTCATGACCCTTCGGTCAGGAGAACCTCCTTCTTTGTACATGCACTGGCCCCAAACTCTATATAAGGGTAGCTAGGGCACCCATCCTAGGATCATCTTCACATTCTTCACCACCTCCGGACTCCTGAAGCTTCCCTTTAGGCAATTTATCTCCTAGCTCTAGATCTCCTACCTCTTCCACCATTCTTGCACCCCCATTGTAAGAACTTCAGAGCATTCAAGCAAGGAACATGCACTCGATCATCTCTGAGACTGGATGTAGGGCTCCGGCCTGAACCAGTATAAATCCTCATGTCTTTTGGATGCTACCATCGTCTTCCTAGAGCAGCGCAACAATTGTATAAATTTACTAGTCTGGTTTACAAAACACCAACAGTTGGCGTGCTAGGTAGGGGACAGTCATAACTTGTGCTTGTGTAGTTGGTTATGTAGTGGTAGTCTCTCTAGTCGAGCAGTAGCTTAGTTTGAGTATGTGCTTCTCTTTAGTAGCTTGATTAGTTGTTTAGCTTGCCTCCAGTAATTAACTTGTGCGCATTAGTTGTAGAAATACTTCTTGCTACTATAACCATGTAGGGAGACTTGCGTTGAAGTGTTAGTCTAGGCTTGAAGTGGCTATTAGGATTGTCTCTAGTACTAATCAATTTGGCCTAGTGTTTTGTCTTTGAAGGAATTCTGATAGGCTATTCACCACCTCTAGACATCCATAAATCCTTTTAGAGGACATGGTGTACTGCCAGCAATCGTCAAGCTTCGTTGACCCCATTGCACTGGACCATGCCTGTCTCTTGAAAAATCCTTGTATGGTCTCAAGTAGAGGCCCATCGGGCATGGAACTAGTACTTCGCCACATACGCTGCAACATCGGCTTCACGACTTCCAAGCACGATGCATCTCTCTTTGTTTACATAGATGGAGACTATGTCGCATACCTACTTCTGTATGTCGATACATCATCCTCAAGGCATCGTCCATGGCTCTACTCCAACATATCACCGCGCATCTCCACTTGGAGTTCTCCATGACAAACCACGGTGACATGTGCCACTTCCTCGGCATCTCAATGACATACAACATTGACAACCTATTTCTCTCGCAGCGCAAGTACATCGTTGACCTCCTCCAACATGTTGGTATGTCCGAGTGCCACCCGATAGTGACATCGGTGGTTGCTCCAGCTAAGCTGTGGGCCACCGACGACACCCCTGTTGCTGACCCCTCAGAGTGAATGAGCCTAGCAGGTGCTCTCCAATATATACCTCACTCTAACAAGGTCCGACCTAGCCTACACCGTCTAGCAAATCTGCCTGTTCATGCAAGATTCTCGCGAGCAGCTCCTCATGATGATAGGTGCCTGTTCTACCGGTCTTCACATTGGTGTTGGCGCCATCGACTCCCTAACCGCCTACTCTGATCCGACTTTGTTTGAATAATTTGAAATTTGAATTTTAAAGTATGAGAACTTCAAATAGAATTTTGAGATAAAAAATGATTTTAAATGAAAAGGTGGTCAACAAAAAATTTGAATAACTCGTCGAGATCTAGAACTTTTGTTTTGGTCATTTCTCCATACAACTTTGTTTGAACAATTCGAAATTTGAATTATAAAATATGAGAACTTCGAACAGAATTTTGGGAGAGTAAATGATTTCAAATAAAAAATTAGAGCTCATCGGTAACTACAACTTTGGTTTTGATTATTTTTTTATCCAAGTTTGTTTGAGTAAAAAATTATAATAGTTCTATATTTTATGACGATCAACTATATCATCGATCTATCGTCACAAAGCCCATGTAGAGTATACTATGACGATGTTTATGACAGAGACACAACTCGGTGATAAATAATTGTCATCCTGTGAACAGTCATCATAAACAGCCTCTGTTTGTGACAGATAGGTGCTCTATCATCTGGTAGTCGTCATAGAAGCCCAAATTTCTTGTAGTGCACGTGGCACTCCACAACCGGGTTCTATGCTGTCTTCCTTCGTGACTATATGGTTTCTTGGTCCTCCTAACACCAGACCATGATCTCCTGATCCAGCGTTGAAGCGAAGTATCATGTTGTTGCTCATGTGATAGCCAAGTGCTGCCGGATAAGATAGCTTCTCTAGGAACTCTGCATCTTGGTTCCTTTGGCAACAGTTGTCCACTACGACAACATAAGCGCTATCTACGTGATGGCCAACCTTGTTCACCATTGTCGCACGAAGTATATCCAGATTGACATCTAACCGTGTGCTCCATATCCCTTCGGCATACTAGTTAACGGACATCATGACCAGGGTCTCCCCGTACATTAGTGATCCTACAGCTGTGACTGCATGTAGGTATTAGGATACTTGTATAGCCTGACTCAATTGTTTGTACCATAAGTTGTAATACCCTGTACATGGCTATATATATGAAAAGCACCTCCACAATGAGTGTGCGGTGATTCCTCCTATACCTTTTATTTTTTTTAAAGTTAAAATCACATGAGATGTATGTGCCAAAGATTTTTTCTTTCTTTTTTATTCTGCAAAGATTGTGTGCTAATGTTCCATAACGAACCAATCATCACTCTTCATAGCAGACGATTAAGAGTTGTACTTTATTTGTCACATGGTTTTGGTCGAAAATCGTGGTGCTAAGAAACCCAAAAGATTCCTAAAATAACCGCTGAGCTAGTAGAGATGGAAATGTACATCAAGATGTCAGTGTTCCGTGTAGAATAGGGCAGAGAAGTCTCTGTAGCATGTTAGCCATTCAACCTGTACTCAATTATTTCGTTGACTTGACTAAGCCGTCACTCGATCCCGTCTAGACGTCTATTGCCCAATTCTGGGAGCTGAACCAGGGTATGTCCGTCCACAATAGTAGTATAGATACTTGGAATTCTATGAAAAATCTTTGTTTTTTCAAGTTCTATCTACGTAGACTGCAATGAACAATTGGAATTCTGTTAAAGAAGAATGAACAATATGTGGATTTACATACTAAGCTATGATCCACTCATCAGTAACAGCAAGCATGGAACAAGAGAGGTAGAAATTAATTGCATGCATGCAGCGACATGCAAACCTCCAGAGTGATACAGCCAAAACAAGGGGGCCAGGACCCAGTTTGGCCCCCACGTAGCTCCGTCCGTGGACCAGATCATACACAAAGGTGCATGAACAAGTATTCAGATAATGATTTGTTTCTGCATAAGATTTTATTAAAACCTTAAGGCTTGTTTGGACGAGCCCTATAAATTTTGAGTTGGATATTCATAGCTTAAAGAATTTTTTTTGTCTAGAGTTGGAGATACATTAAGGACCTGTTTGGCAGGGCTCCCGTGGGTTCCGGCCCCTGTCGGCCGCCCACAGGCCGACAGGCACCAGAGCCGTTTTTCTCCCTCCTACTTTACTCTCTCGCAGACACAGACGGAGCTCGTTTTTCGGGCTCCGCGGCTCCGGCTCCAGCTCCACGTGCACGGGCCGACAGGCAGCAGAGCCGTTTTTCTCCCTCCTACTTTACTCTCTCGCAGACGCAGACGGAGCTCGTTTTTCGGGCTCCGCGGCTCCGGCTCCAGCTCCACGTGGCACCTATCGGCCCGTGGGAGGCCGACAGGGGCGGCAGCCGGAGCCAAACAGGTCCTAAGAGTAGTTCATTATTAATACTTTGGACTAGATATAGATCTTTAATTTGTTCGCAATCTTCTGATCCAATCTGAATGTGGCTGGAGTTGTGCCGAGCAGACCTGAAATTTTACATTTTGCGTGTTCAATTAATTTACATTTTATCGGGAATGTTTTCGTGACTATTGCAAATCGTAACACGCTAACACAAAGATGTTATTATTATAGGAGTAATTGTTACGCGGAACTAATGGTCCCACACCGATGACTTCTTTGAAGTCTTGGTCCTCGCTCGCGTTGCGTCATCCATATAGCCTATTTAAACAAGGTTGCTGCCAAACCTTGCTCTCACACAGTCATAAGCACCGAGCACCATCTCTACACAAAACAAAGCCACCGCTAGCTTTAAGCCACCATGTTTCGCTGTCATCCTCTTCCCAGCTACCTTCTCCTAGTTACCATCATCCTCGCTACCAGCGGGTGTGGAGCCAGCCTATGCCGCCAAGATCAGAGCGCTGCCCTGCTCCGCCTCAAAGCCAGCTTCCACTTCGGCAACTCATCAGCTTTATATTGTGGATGGTTTACGAGTACTCTTCCGTCATGGAAGGCAGACACCAACTGCTGCACCTGGGAAGGCGTAACATGTGACGGCACGTTGGGCTACGTCACTGCTCTCGACCTCTCTGAACTCTGCATCTCGGGTAACCTCAGGTCACCAGACATCTTTAAACTTACCTCGCTTCGCTTCCTTAGCCTTGCTTACAACAACTTTGATGCAACTCCGTGGCCACGTCCCGGATTTGAGCAGCTCCCTGATCTCAAGTACCTTGACCTCTCTTATTCTGGCTTGTCTGGTGCTTTGCCCATCGAGAACGGCCAACTTTCCAATTTAGTCACGTTGAACCTCTCTGGCCTTCATCTAAAAGATTTGAACCTTGAGACTTTGATTGACAGCCTTGGCAGTCTCCAAACACTGTATCTTGATGAAGCCTACATTTCGGTCAATCCAACCGATTTGGTGCCTGCCTCTTCTGGCAATAAAACGTCAAGTCTCAAAGAGCTAAACATGTGGAGGTGCACAATCACTGGTGGCCATTTTGATACTTTTCTTACTAATCTCCTATTTCGTTCCAAGCTTGCCAATTTAGTCATGCTAGGTCTCTCGGACTTTGATCTTAAAAATTTGAGCCTTTATTCCTTGATTGGCAGCCTTGATAAGCTCCAAAATCTATATCTTGATTGGCATTTCGCCTTGTCCATAGATTTGGCTCCTCTTCTAAATACCACATCAGGTCTCAAATCTGTGCGGTGCAAATCACTAGCGGACAGTTTGATACTTTTCTGTCCAATAGATTTAGTCATGCTAGGTCCTCTTTGATCTAAAAATTTGAGCCTTTTCCTTGATTGGCACTCAAATTCTCAGGTCTCAAATAGATTTGCTCTTCTACCAATGCATCAGGTCTCAAAGAGCTACGCATGTGGCGGTGCACAATCACTAGCGGACAGTTTGATACTTTTCTGTTTGATTCCAAACTTGCCAATTTAGTCATGCTAGGTCTCTCGGACTTTGATTTTAAAAATTTGAGCCTTTATTCCTTGATTGGCAGCCTTGGTAAGCTCCAAAATCTATATCTTGAAAATGTAAACATTTCGGCCAGTCCTACCAATCTGCCACTTGCCTCATCTACCAATACCACATCAGGTCTCAAAGAGCTACGCATGTGGGGGTGCACAATCACTAGCGGCCACTTTGATACTGTTCTCACTAAGCACCCATTTCTTTCCAACTTAATCATGCTAGATCTCTCAGTCCTTAACCTTAAAAATTTGAGCTTCTATGACTTGATTAACAACCTTAACAGTCTACAGAAGTTGTATCTTTGTGCTGTCAACATTTCAGTAAGTCCGATCATGTCGGTACATTCTTCTTCTACCAATACAACACCAGGTCTGCAAGAGCTACAAATGACAGATTGTGGGCTGACTGGGACATTCCCTTCATGGATATTTCATATCAAAAGCTTGACAATGCTAGATGTATCACAGAATGAGAACCTATGTGGAGAGTTGCCTGAGTTCGCAGAGGGTAGCTCTTTGCAAGAATTGAGGCTTAGTGGAACCAAACTTTCTGGAAAAATACCAGAGTCTACCGGTAACCTCCAAAGTTTGACTATGTTGGACCTTTCTGATTGCCAATTCAATGGCACCATCCCACAATTTGCTCAGTGGCCGATGATTGAATCAATTGACTTGTCAGGTAACAACTTAATTGGTTCATTACCTTCAGATGGATACCATGCTCTACGCAACCTAACAAGAGTTGATCTTAGTAACAACTCGATAAGTGGAGTGATACCTGCATCTTTGTTTTCTCACCCATCTTTGGTGTCTTTAGATATCTCGCAAAACAATTTCACTGGAAATTTTCTTTTGTACCCCAATATATCTTCTAATTTGGCATCGATTGATCTTAGTAATAACAAACTGCAAGGACCAATCCCAAAATTACTGTCGGAGCTTGTAGGAACATATTACTTGGATCTGTCGTCAAACAATTTCACTGGAACTGTGGATCTAAGCTTCATAAAGAATTGCAAGGAGCTCGATTATCTATCGCTATCCTATAATAAGTTGTTTGTAGTAGAGGAAGATAGCAATCATTCCTACCTAGAATATCCATTTATTTGGGAGTTGGGATTGGCATCATGTAACCTATCTTCCGTGCCAAAATTCTTGATGCACCAGAGGGGTATTTATGATTTGGACCTCTCAAACAACAATATTGGTGGACACGTACCTGATTGGATATGGGGAATTGGAGATTTCTCTTTTAGTCTTAACCTGTCTCATAATCTATTTACCAGCGTTGATACAAATTTATCAAGTGCATCAGTATATTGGTTTGATCTAGATCTCCATTCCAACAAGATTGAGGGACCTCTCCCACTACCGCCAATGGGAACTTACCGATTGGACTTCTCCAATAACCGTTTCAATTCTTCTATCATGCCTGAGTTTTGGTCACGCCTTAGGTCAGCCGATTCCCTATCATTGGCAAACAATAGCCTCATTGGAGAAGTTCCCCATTTGATCTGCAATGCAACTAATATGGAAGTTCTAGACCTTTCTTTTAACAGATTCAGTGGATTAATACCACCTTGTTTGTTGAAAGATAATGATCGTCTTGAGATACTGAACTTAAGGAGTAATAATTTCCATGGATCCTTGCCTCAGGACATCAGCGACCAATGTGCACTTCAAGTAATAGATCTCAATAGCAACAAGTTGGAGGGAAATTTACCCGTGCCTCTGATCAACTGTCACATGCTACAAGTTCTAGACCTCGGAAACAACCTGATAGTTGATACCTATCCAGAGTGGCTGGGAGTTCTTCCTTTGTTGAAAGTGCTTGTTCTGAAGTCGAACCGTTTCCATGGTCCCATTGATTACGCCGATGGGATGAACAAACAAATGCATTCCTTCTTCCCAGAGCTACAAGTTATGGACCTTTCTTCAAATTCATTTAACGGTAGCATTACTGCACGATTCCTAGAGCAGTTCAAAGCTATGATGACGGTTTCTTCAGGAGCTCTGAGCATGTATGTTGGAATTATCAAATCAGCAGCAGCATCTCCAAATTATTACAGGGAATCAATCACGGTGACGATCAAAGGGCAAGAAACAACTCTTGTACAGATACTTTCAGTCTTCATGTCACTCGATCTCTCCAACAACGACTTCCAGGGTATCATCCCCAACGAGATCGGCGACCTGAAGTTTCTCAAGGGGCTCAACCTGTCCAGGAACTCTTTTACCGGCAGGATCCCTCCTCGGATCGCAAACATGCTGCAGCTGGAGTCACTTGATCTCTCCAGTAACCAGCTCTCCGGGGAGATCCCTCCAGCAATGGCACTGATGTCATTCCTCGAGGTGCTCAACCTTTCCTACAATCATCTGTCGGGGATGATACCACAGTCCAGCCAGTTCTCGACGTTTCCAGAAGCATCATTTCTCGGGAACGACGGGCTGTGCGGGAAGCCGCTGCCACGCATGTGTGACACGAACCACACACCATCTTCTGCTGCTGCTACATCAGGCTCATCTAAAGAGTTGAACTGGGAATTTTTGTCGGTTGAGGCAGGGGTTGTTTCCGGCTTGGTCATCGTGTTTACGACCACGCTGCTGTGGGGCAGCGGGAGGAGGTGGCTATACTGGCAGGTGGACAAGTTTCTGCTAGATGTTCTGCGGCCATGGATCCGCGGCCTGTTAGAAGTAAAGTTTGTAACGTGTAAACATGCATGACACATATGCAATCTGCTAACATGGAAACCTGTCATGGCGCTAGGATTGGGGTTGATTGTTAGTTGCCTTGTAAATAGGATCTGCTAGGATCCCACCAGCGCCTAGAAGGTTCCATGGGCGCACATATGTACTGCCACGGATGGGGCTGTTCCATCCACTGATTCAACACGCAACATCGTCGGAAGTCCCCGACGTTCAACTACGCAAGTTCTGCCCTCTGTTATTTTTCATGGTAATCAGAGCCAATTCCACCTAGAAACACCTCGCCGCAATGTCGTCCTCTTCAGCCCTCCCGCCCAACCCTCTCTCGGCCATGGCCATCACCGAAAATCTCACCAGGACCAACTACCCCATCTGAGAGGCTCAGGTCCTCTCGACTATCAAAGGTGCTCGCGTTTATGGGCACCTTACTGGATCCATGGTGGCGCCAGAGAAGAAGATTGCGGACAAGGAAGGCAAGCAGGTCCTGAATCCGGCGTTCGAGGAGTGGGAGGCCCGGGATCAGCAGACTCTCAGCTTCCTCTTCGCCAGCGTTTCCAGGGACATCCTTAGCCACATCGCCAAGTCCAAGACGGCACAGGCTGCATGGGCAAAGATTGAGGCGATGTTCGCCTCACAGACCCGTGCTCGCGCAGTGAATCTGCGCATCACTCTCGCCAATACTGAATATTTCACTAAGATGAAAGGTTTCAGTGATGAGATGGCGGCGGCGGGGCGATCTATCACCGACGACAAGTTGGTTGAGTACATTCTCACCGGATTGCTCGCGGAGTATGAGTCGCTGGTTACCTCTCTCGTTACGAGGGTGGAATCGGTGACGCTTGATGAGCTGTATGCACAGCTCCTCAACTTCGAGACCAGGATAAATCTGGTCCATGGCGGCGAACAGACGTCGGCCAATCTGGCCGGTCGCGGAGGCGGGCGCGGTTCAAACCGTGGGCGTGGTCGCGGTCCTCCCAGCACTGGAGGTCGTGGTAGCGCCCAAGGATCCAGCACCAACAGTCAGCAACGCGGTGGCTTCAACAACAACAAGAAACATGACAAGCCAATCTGCCAAGTGTGCGACAAGGAGGGGCACACCGCCCTTCATTGCTGGTACCGGTTTGATGAAAACTACACAGATGAGAAGGTAGGGGCGGCGGCTTCAAGCTCCTACAACATCGACAACAACTGGTACACAGACACTGGTGCCTCTGATCACATCACTAGCGAACTTGAGAAGCTGGCGGTTCGTGAGAAGTACAACGGAGGAGATCAGATCCACACTGCGAGCGGTGCAGGTATGGCAATTAGTCCATTGGTTAGTCTATGATTACTACCCCTAGCCGTAACCTTCTTTTGAATAATGTTCTGCATGTTCCTGAGGCACACAAAAATCTTATATCAGTTCATTGTTTCACATCTGACAACTCAACATTCATGGAATTTCATCCAAATTATTTTTTGGTAAAGGATCTGGACACCAAGAAAATTCTGCTTAAGGGTCCATGTCGGCGCGCGGATCGTATCCACTTCCTTCCACTTCAGCAATAAAAGCAGGCCTTCACCGCGTCCAAACCATCCCCGTCCCGTGGCATGAGCGTCTAGGTCATCCCGCATCTCCCCGTAGTTCGTCGATTGTTAGTAATAATGAATTGCCATGTACCTCGATTCCACTCATGCGTAGTATGTATGCGATGCGTGCAAGACAAGCCAAAGCACATCGCTTACCATATCCCATATCCACCAAAGAGTCTAGTGCACCTTTAGATTTGGTATTCTCTCGATGTGGGTCCCGCTCTTGAGTCTGCTGGTCGCAAACAAGATTATGTGAGTTTTATTGATGATTACAGCAAGTTTACAAGGATTTATCTTATAAAGTTTAAGTCTGAAGTATTCCAGAAATTTCAAGATTTTCATAACCTTGTTGAGAGGTTATTTGATCGAAAGATCAAGGCTGTCCAAACGGATTGGGGTGGTGAATATCAGTGACTTAATTCCTTTTTCACCAAGATTGGTATTTCGCATTTAATCTCATGCCCGCACGCACATCAACGTAATGGTGTCATGCGGGCTGAAAACATCGACATATTGTTGAGGTCGGGCTTGCCCTTCTCTCCCATGCGTCTATGCCCCTGAAGTTTTGGGATGAAGCCTTCATAGCCGCAACATACTTAATTAATCGCCTGCCAAGCAAAGTCATTGCCTCCTCCACGCCTCTAGAGCGACTATTTCATCAAAAACCAAATTACTCGGCCCTCCATACGTTTGGGTGTGCTTGTTGGCCAAATCTCCGACCATACAACACACACAAGCTTCAATTCCTTGGCTATAGTGTTCTTCACAAAGGATTCAAGTGTCTAGATGTATCTTCTGGACGAGTATATATTTATCGCGATGTAACATTTGATGAAAATGTGTTTCCCTTTGCAAAGTTACACCCTAATGCAGGCGCACGGCTCAGGCCAGAAATTCTCCTGCTTCTGTCCAAAACAACGGCTAATCCTGGGGCTAGTGACATAGCTGATCAATCCACTAATATGCCAGTTAGCACTGTTAAAAATTTTGAGCGCAGGAACTCTGGATATCAAGAAAATCCGGCATCAAATGATACTTCTACCGGCCGCACGGAGTTCCAGGAGGATTCGGTGGAGACAAATGGCGCAATGCCTTCTGCGCCAGGTTCTGCATCTGCGCCAACATCCCCCTCGGGATCGTGGCGTGAGACTCGCGGGCCGTCGCCTGGCCACGCGCTTTCTCCGTCTGGCGAACCTGGGGGTGCCACGCCTCCTTCGCTCTTGTGCGTGGGCCTCGATGGTGGGCCGCTCACCGAATCTGCGGGTGCCACGGCCTCGCCACGTGACAACACCGACGGCGCGGGCATCTAGAGCCCTGCGTCATCCACGGACTCGACAGGTGCGTCGGGGGCTCAACTTCCAGGGGAGATTTCCTCGCCAGGATCTGTTGTGCCGCCAGATGTTGTGCACTGCCCTACAACGTGTCTTCAACGGGGCATCAGAAAACAAAAGGTATACACCGATGGAACCATTCGTTATGGATTACTAACTTCCACTGGTGAACCTTCTGGTCTTGACGAGGCATTAGCAAACAAGAAATGGAAAGAGGCCATGAACTCTGAGTATGCAGCACTAATGAGGAACCAGACATGGCACTTGGTTCCACTGTAGAAAGGAAGAAATGTAATTGGGTGCAAATGGGTTTACAAGATTAAAAGGAAGGCTGATGGGACTTTGGACAGGTATAAAGCTAGGCTAGTAGGTAAAGGGTTTAAACAGAGATATGGTGTCGACTATGAAGATACGTTCAGTCCGGTTATTAAGGCAGCGACAATCCGAGTTATCCTGTCTTTAGCTGTCTCATGTGGCTGGTCCCTTCGGCAGCTGGACGTACAAAATGCCTTCTTACATGGTCTCTTAGAGGAAGAGGTGTATATGCATCAACCTCCAGGTTTTGAAGATCCAGAGAAACCAAATTTTGTATGCAAGCTGGACAAAGCACTGTATGGGCTCAAACAGGCTCTAAGGGCTTGGTATTCTCGCCTCAGTGACAAGCTAATTCAGTTGGGATTCCAGGCGTCCAAGGCAGACACTTCACTGTTTTACTTTAGCAAGGGAGGCATCACGATGTTTATACTTTTCTACGTCGATGACATCATTGTTGCAAGTTCAAGTGAAGCAGCCACGGCCACCTTACTTCAAGATCTTAAAGGGGAATTTGCTCTTAAGGATCTTGGTCCTCTACATTACTTTCTTGGTATTGAGGTCACAAAAGTGCGTGATGGCATTGTTCTCACACAGGAGAAGTATGCGTCAGACTTGTTAAAAAGAGTCGGCATGGGAGATTGTAAATCGGTAAACACACCTCTCTCTAGCAGTGAGAAGTTATCTTTGTTTGAAGGAACTCCATTAGGTCCAAGTGACGCAACAAGGTACAGAAGTGTCGTTGGGGCATTACAATACTTGACTCTCACTATACCTGACATTGCATTTGATGTAAACAAGGTGTGCCAGTTTCTCCATGCTCCAACTACAACACACTCGGAGGCGGTGAAACGAATTTTGAGATATGTGAAACAATGCACCAAGCTCGGTTTGAAGATTCACAGGTCGGCTTCTACCCTAGTTAGTGCCTTCTCTAATGCTGACTGGGTTGGCTGTGTTGATGACCGAAAGTCCACTGGAGGCTTTGCAATATTCCTAGGCGGAAATCTTGTATCATGGAGTGCAAGGAAACAACCCACGATATCTCGCTCTAGTACAGAAGCAGAGTACAAAGCGATTGCCAATGCCACAGCTGAGGTAATGTGGATCCAGACTTTATTATATGAGATAGGGGTTAAAGCACCTAGAGCAGCCAGATTATGGTGTGATAATCTAGGAGCCACCTATCTGACAAGCAACCCAGTGTTTCATGCTCGAACAAAACATATTGAGGTGGACTATCATTTTGTGAGAGATCGACTTTGTGTCTTCTAAAGATCAGATGGCGGATGGATTCACCAAGGCTTTGCCGGTTCGGTTAATGGAGAACTTCAAGATCAATCTCAACTTAACCAAGTTGTGATTGAGGGAGGCTGTTAGAAGTAAAGTTTGTAACGTGTAAACATGCATGACACATATGTAATCTGCTAACATGGAAACCTGTCATGGCGCTAGGATTGGGGTTGATTGGTAGTTGCCTTGTAAATAGGATCTGCTAGGATCCCACCTGCGCCTAGAAGGTTCCATGGGCGCACATATGTACTGCCACGGATGGGGTTGTTCCATCCACTGATTCAACACGCAACATCGTCGGAAGTCCCCGACGTTCAACTACGCAAGTTCTGCCCTCTATTATTTTTCACAGCCGTCGCCACTGAAATAAATTGTTAGTGTCTGCATAGCTTAATGATATGTGCAAGAAAATGAGCAGGCGAGAAACACGTAGTTTCTCCTTGTATGACATGTATCAAATCATGGACAAGATCCGAGATTGATTGGTGGTCTGTTTAGCCATAGAAG